GGGCCAAGGTTAGGCTCAGTTCACATCCAGTGACACCATGTACTCTGAGGGAAAAATGGCCGACAAGATTCAATGTTTTTCAGAATGATTTCTCTGTCTGGATTTTAGGTCATTTACTCCACATTGCTTCCTTAGCACTCTAATGTCCTTAAAAATGGTTCTTAAAATATAACTGGGATTTTCTAGTTTTTTTCCCCCCTGAAAGGGAATACTTATCCTATATAGAATTGTAAGAATCTTCTTTACCCTATTTTATAAGTAAAGTTATGAAGGAGTTGAGTGGCAAGTATTATTTCTTGTCTTTTCAGATTTTGAAGTAATTCTAAATGTAAATCATGCCCATAAGGTGGTAAAGGGCAGAGGTGTAAAAAATTCCAAAGTTTCCGATGTCAGACTCCTTCCTGTGTTTTCCATTATACTAAGATAATACTGTATCAGCTGAGATCTGTCATAAAAGAAAACCACACCATTGAGATAATCACGAGTTATTAACAAGATGTAGCTATTGCTCCTAGGACTGGAAATCAAAGGGAAGAAGTGGGATTATTGGAATTTCTGCCTTAGGAATAAGTCCTGTGGATCTAAGACTTCGACCTCTGTGGAAGTGGTTAGCCAATCTAGTTCTGGAAGCTCAGAGATTGGTGAAGGACTCAAAGACTAGGCATTCTAAAACCCGAGGGTAAGATATTGGTAATGTACCAGTATCTCTGAGGCTGACAATACTGTTGGGTCTGATAGTTACTTAAAAATATGTATCTATAATTATTATATATAATATATAATTTTATATGTAAGATATTATGTGTAGTAACATTGTGCAGCCTGAAAATTACTGTCTTTGCAAAAGTGAGAGCTGTTAATGAGGCAACACTGACATGAACAGTAATCAAAAAATTTCCCATTTCCAGTCTCCCTCTAGTTTTCTCCTATTGCAGAAACTAATAGAGAACAGGCAAAGAAGAAATCTGATTTTGTTAGCATTCTCTGTGTGACAAAGCAGAGTACAAAGAAGAAGGGTGGTTGGAATTGAGACAGCAAATTATAAACACAAACATACACATTATCCATGAGCTGTGCCTTTGCTCAGGAAACACAAAGAGATTAATTCCATGAAAAATTAAACACTAAAATTATTTAAAATAATAGAAAATAGAATTTTCTAGAAATTAGCACATTTTTTTCTAGTTGTTTAATGGCCAATGTTTATGCTCCCAAGTAAGGAAAAATCTCAGGATTCTGTCAATGATTTGTGACACATTCTATAACATTTCTACAGCCAGTGGACTAAAACTTCATACATTGGAAATTGGGGTCCTTTTTGAAACTGCAAATTTTGGCTTTTCTTTTTAAGATACTTTTGGGACATTTTGCTGTTCTTCCGTAGATGAAATAAAAACATTTTGCTCTTCTTCATTAGGTGAAGTTTTGATATTTTGTTCTGGGGTTAAGTTGGAGTTTCATTTACTTCTTGAGATGCAGTAACACTCTGCTTTTGACTCTCATCTGTTTTTTTTCGTGTCATAATAAACAAAATTAACAAGCATAATAATAAGACAAGAAAAGGAACCAACCATAGTAACTGATATCTGTTCCATTTCTCCACTTCCTTATTTTTCTTAGGGGATGGTCCACTGTCAATACTGCCTCCATAGCCGCTTACCAGGCAGTTGGGAGGGTCCCACCCAGAGTTGCAGTGGCAGTGATGTCTGTTGTTACAGACTCCATTCATATGGCAAGTCTCAGGTGAACAATCACTTACTAGACGTGACATATGGACACACTTCCTTTGGATGCAGATTTGTTCCTTACCACACGCTGTACCATCTTTCACTTCACCGATGTCAGATATGGTCATCCCCAAATGGTAGTCGGTACCCCAGCATGTGACGTCATTGAAGTGAGTCCAGTGCACAGTAGAATGATCTGTCAGAAGGGGAAGTTCTGTCACGTTCTCACACTGAACTCTGCCACACAGAACATCTGAGATGTCACATCGTACATACCTAGAGCCGTTAATACCACAGTGACCAAAACGGTCACCTCGGATGTTCATTTTTGTGTAGCAACTCTGATTTGCACTCTTGGCCTCTTTGCCGAAAATTTTCTTACATTGTTCTTCACGGTTATTGCATCTCTTTTCATAGCAGTAGCCACCGCCCATGCAAGGGACTCCGTCCTGTACATATACATCTTCTGGACAATGATAGGATGTTCCATTGCACCACTCTGGAAGATCACATGCATTTTCCTCTTTTCTACACAAACTACCTGATGGCATGATCTTGCAGTCTTTGCAACAAAGCCCAGAAGAGCAAACAGCCCCAGGTCCCAGAGTGCAGTTTAACTGACAACATGGATCATGAACACACAAACGGAAAGAACCACAGTCACACTCTTCTCCTTCTTCAACCACATTGTTCCCACACTCTTTTAATGTGAAGATGTCCTTTTTGTTTGATGTAATGTATAAACAATCTCGTTTTGCAGTGTTGTCCATGAACTGAACATAACTGCAGTTGCTGAATGTAGTTGACTGTACTTTTCCTGCATGCATAATGCACAGTTCATCCTTACACTTACAATTCTTACCATCATGTTCCATACCCAAATTATGACCGATCTCATGCGTCACAATAAATGAAAGGTCATACAAATTATCAGTCCGGAAACTGTCAACTCCACAATTATACTCAAGTATACATACTGTTTTAACAAAGGATAAGCCAAGATAAAGACCATAGCTATAGTTTACAAACATATGGGCAACATCATGGGGCAAACGGTTAGTTAATTCAATTTGCTTCCACTTGCAAAATTCTGTAAGGAGACTACCTATGTTCTTTATTGCAAGGAGGTTTCTTGTAGTCCAGATCTCAATTCCCGTTAAAAGCACATCAACATCCAGTGAATTAAACAAGTCATCTATTCCATTGACAACAAGGCATACTTCCTTCTGCACATTTGAGATGTTACTTTGGCGATGAAGATACCGTTTGTGGTCTACCACCACTGCCAGTTCAAGAAACCGCTTGTGGGTCCACCAGCCTTCATACCCAATTCGCATTGAAGTGTAATTAATGTTCTCTTGAAACTTCAATTGTCGTGCTATTTCTTCATCTGTTAATCCACATCTCATGGGTGTCTTCTCACTGCTCATCTTATATATGAGATGTTCAAATGTGGTAGAAAGACTTTTGGGCTCGATTTCATAAACCATGTCATTTGTCTTTAATATTCCTTGAAAACCCCCAAAACAAGTACTGAGTGCAACCAGGGATTCTGGGTCCCCCTCCACATAACCATGATAGTAGCAGTCATTTTGGACAAAAGGCTGGTCCTCAACGATAGCACCCTGGTCTGTGTAGGTGAACACTGGGAGGTGTCTGGGCAGCAAATACTTCTTGACCCTCATGAGGACAACGTGTCTCTGGCCTCCAAAACGCATGCTGTAAGAGAACCAACCTCGAGACTTCATGCTGACACTAGTGACTTTTACCTTTAAGGGAATCACCACTTCTGGGGGACCATGGCGTTGGGAGTGTCCATCTTGGGAACACCCAGACAGAAACAGAAACACCCCCAGCCAGAATGGCAGGAGAGTGCTCCTCATATGCACCAGAGCCTCACCCACAGCCATTATGTAGCTACTGTATGCAGCTATTGATGACAGCAAAATAGGACATGCAGGAAGCATTGCTGTTCTGTCTCCTCTCTCTGAGCTGACTGAATCCAGACCCGACTTTCAATCTGTGACACTCTGGCAGAGTCACACCATCAGAGCAGCATACTAAAAGAGAAAATAGAAAGAATGATTGAGAGAGGTGTGGGGTTATAAGCAGGCCAATGTGGAGAAGGAAGAGAAAAGCACAGATTAAAATTGGTTAGTGCTTGGCTGAAGACATGATTCAGTTTACTGCACACACTTGCTCTTAAGGAATGATAAAGTCGTGTGAGACTGCGGATGTACAAAAGATTGGTGATTGGCCATAAGCTGAATCTAGGTGAAGGGTACATAGTGACTAATGATACTGTTTTTAAATATGTGAATATGTGTGAATAAATATATAAAACGAAAGGGTCTTAATGGAAAGGTGAACATATGTTTTGAGAAGGAGTCTCATTGTATATATACATTGATTTGGTATAAATATTTACATGTTTTTTTCTTTCAATTTCAAATAATAAATTATTTAGTCACATTATGCAAGAGAGATAGATAAAAGTTATTTTATTTTTTCTTGTTGTCCCCAATATATAATAAATCCATGCAAAAAATTTTATTACTTGTCCTATTTTCTTTCTGTGTTCCTGTTTTCATCTAATTCTGCCAAACTGCAAGGGCAGAGAGAGGTAGGTTTGGTAGAATTAAGTAGGGATAAAGGACTTTCTGTCATAAAGTGTGAATATAGAGGAGATTGCTGTTGCTTTTAATTAAAGGAAGATTCCATAAGTAATAGGAAAATGATTCCAAAGAAAAGATGTCAGGGTACATTGAAACAAAATAAATAAAAAAAAAAATTAAGCAGAAATGAGTAAACAATACAGGAGATGATAGGTCCTTAATTGGGCATTTTTCATTTTCATATTATCTACTGTGGGAAGTCGATTTGATCAGTGCATTTCAGATCTCTCATAGCGGACTTCACTTTCATGT